AACTCTAGCCTTCGGAAATCCAAAGTCCCATTAGTGGCTAACAACCAGTCCATTCCCAACATGGCGGGAATACTGATATCAGCAAATACAGCCCGAGTCGGGTGGACGGTTTTTCCAATTCCTAAGTCCAACCATGCAGTACCATACACTTTCAAAGGGGTACCGTCCACCTGCCTGACTCTAGACTCGCAACATTCCAACTCGGGCCGCTGTTCTTTTGGCAGCTGGTAGTATACCATCATACTGATCAATGTGTCAGTTGCCCCGGTGTCAATAAGCAAACGAAACTTAGTCGACCTAATTGACCCATCTACGAACAAACCATGGCTTGGCCCAATTGCGGGGGTTGTGACAACGTGCACTTCGTTTCTCAACCTCGTGCCCTCCGTTACTGTGGACCCTGTACATTGTTCAGCCTTTCCGCGGGTCCCCCGGTCGGCTGGTTCTCGTTTCCCTGGTAGCGGGTACGTTTACGCTTAGGCTGCCTGCACTCTGTAGCGAAGTGACCAAGTGCACCACAGTTATGACACTTTAACTCGGATTTAGGCCGCCTCTGTGGAGGAGGAGAGCCAACTGAAACTTCTTGCATCGCAGGAACCATCTGCGCATGCGCTGGTGGTTGAAACAACACTCTACCCATCAAAAGCTCCAAATTCTTAGTCATTTCGTTTACACACTTCGTGTGCAAGTCAACAGCCCGCTCGATGGACTGAATTCTTGCCTCCACTTCTCGGTCCGTTCCTCTTACAAACTTAGGGGGCCTTTCATCAATTCTTCGCTGTACCTCCACCTTGTGAAAGTTTTCCGTCTCGAGGGCGGCTTGTAATGCCTCTGACAAGTTCTTTGGTCTTGCTCTAAAGATACCTTCCCGCACCTGCTGATCAGAAACAGCATCAACAAAGTGATTCTTCTCCAACCGATCCCTTGACTCCTCAGGGATCTCTGGATATGCCTTAACAGCCAACTCGTGTATTGCCTGACATAACTCCTGCAGAGTTTCCTTAGGCTTCTGTCTGCGATGACGTAACTCAACCAGAAAATTCTCAGCCTGCTGACCAGGCCCGAACCGCCTAGCCAACAATTTCACTAACTCCTTATAAGTCCGCTTACCTCCTTGGTAAGCACCCTCCCCAAGGATGCGGACAGCATCTCCCTGAAGACTTGCAGCCAAGTATTCGGCAGATTGTACATCATCCCACTTCTGACACCAATTTGTGACGTCACGCCCTTAGCGTGGAGCGGTGCTCGAAAGAGGGCGCCCTCTCCACAGGCGTGGCGCGGACGGCACGTACCGGAAAGTCCCTGAGCGGCTAGAGACGAGTCCGTTGGGATGGAAATATGCCGTCCCGGTCGGAAAGCTAGTTGTTTTTATGTGACTGGGCAGCGCGCTTTAATCTGATTGGCCTAATCCTTAACGACGTAACTGAGAGGGAGAACCAATGAACAGCCTTGTGACACCAGTTTCATTTACCAAGAAATAATAACCACTGTTTTATTCACTTTCCTCTTGGAATCACAAAAAGGCCCACTCCGATCCAAGAATTGAACAGTAAGAGATCAACAGAGGGCGCTGTGAAATGCAACACTTATATACAGGGGGTGCAATGAACTACGGGATAAAAGCAGTGTACGATAATCCAGTGAGGGGGGAGTTCCAAGTTCCTTCGCAAGCGCAATATGCGTGAGACTAATGCAAGTCTAGGGCCAGATATCACGCAAGTCCCTATAAGGGACGACTCGAACCGCACTACAATTAGGCCCCTTAACTTACCCGCTCACATCCACAGCGCGCAGTATTAGCAATGTACCTATTGTTTCCTATTAGCCTAGCGCACGCAGGTCCGTATAGGCAGACCGTGCCGGAGTCAGTTATCTCGATCGAACGCACCACCAGCCCCTACTCGCGGAGCCAAGATCACAACGAAACCACGCCCCCAAGAAGGGACAATTGATCCCGCAGCAACCCAGCACCAGCTCGAGGAACCGTAACCGACCCGTCACAATACCGCCCAACAGCCCTACCACCTAAGTACAGGAGGTATAATGCCTTACCACACGCCCGCAAGTGCCGGCGTTTCGAACCAGAAATCAGGTCCCCCGATTTCGCTTTTCTGCGCGCCTTATATAGCCTACCGAGCCGGCCGCTGGCCCATATGCGCCTGCGCGCGCGTGCTGCACGTCACCGAGCGGTGACCCCACTGCCCAATGGTGAACGCGCGAGGCGGAGCCTAAGCGCTGTGCGCGCCTAGCCCACTGCTATGCACTAAAAGTATATGCGCTAATTTTAGCTACAGCGCTCCACGCAAAAGCGCCCTCTGTCACGTTACAGTATTCATCACTTAGAACGTGACAGATGCCCGTTATTTTTACTTCCAAACGGATGAAAATTTGAAGAAAAACTGGCACCTTGCAATCGATATACGTAAGGCCAGGGTTTGTGTGGAAGGCCTGACCTCGGCAACGCGTGACCTCTGCGGCGTATGACGTAATCACGCCTACGGCATATTCACTAGTCTGGTTCCCTGACCTGACAATTTCCTGACACCCTGACGTCTAAATTGTAGGTCAGGTAACCGCCAGTGGGCTGAAAATACGCATGATGGCCCTTTTGCAAAGCTGGGCTTCGTTACCGGTTTGGCTTAATAATTGTCATTAACAGCTTTTAATGTGGGTCCACGTAAATATTTTATATAAGTGTCCTAGGCATTTTTTTTAATATGAAAGGACTTAATGAACAAGTAACCAAAATAGAACTTCATTTTTTTTCTGTGGCCCGTTGCCATGGTAACAAGCTAGTTTGTGTTTTGGGCATTTTAGCCAGTTTTGGGGCCTCGAAAACTCTTGTATTTTTAAACTTATTTTAAAAAATCACCCAGCCATAATACAAATCATGATGAGAAATGGGATAAAAATTGATTCATCAAGGAATTACCACGCCCACTTGGTCAACATGCCAATTGAGGTTACAGTAAATAAGTATATGACTCCAGTATAAGCATATGCAAATCATATCATAAATTCAACTATATCATTACAAAATATCATCCTTGCCCTTAATTGAGAACAAAAATAAATGTTGTAAATGTCACCCTTATGCTATTTCTAGAACATGCGTTAAAGCATGTTCTTAGAACTTGCAAAATTGTAATTGTTACCCTAATTTTGTCCCTCAAAAGGTCAACTTGCCAGGAGTCTCAGAATATTTTCCTTCAGGATATAATGAGAGCCAACATTGGTCTTTCAATATCTGGGGAGAAAAGCTTGGGGGATTATATCCTAATTAGGCAGTACTGCATCAAAAATGGCCACTTGCCTCAAAAATATGAACAGTGAAATTTGAGGGTTTCCTTCAGGTTGAAGTAATAATACACAATCAAGAATACTTGAATTTGGCGCCTTTTTTCAAATAATAAGAGTGAGTTGTAGGCCTGTTAATTACTCTTACCGGTCAAGCAGCATTTTTTGAATAATTGGATAGCTTCAATCAAAGTTACGAGGGCAAAATTTATTTTGGTGGTGGTTTTTTTCAATTCTTATGAACTACGAAACGTCCGATTTACATAGAATAACCCGTGGACACGACTGATTTTGGTGACTTGTATTCAAATTAGTATTGTATCACTAGTTTTTCCGACTTTTACTAAGCTTTTGTCACCATGCATGGTTAAAGGCCTATACTTTACGTCTACGTGAAAAAATATTTAAAATAATTTTAATAAGTAGGTGAAAATTGCTGTCAAAACTGGGTGTCCTTTTTTTTAAACCACCTGTATGAAACATTTACGTGAACCCACTCTTAATGTTCATATCAAATAAAAAAACACACTTGCTTCATATGTCATACAGTTTGATATTTCTGAAAGAAAACATTTGACTCATTTTTAGCTCGAATCTTCAAAGTTAGGGACCCAAATAGAAGACGAAGCCGAAATAAATACGACGCCGAGTTTTGTAACCGTCGTCAGATTCAAAATTACATGACGCAGCGCCGCACAGCTCGCCCATCGTACGATCCGAGTGCATACTAATGCAGAAAGTCGTATTGGATTTCAAGTTTTCTAAATGCAAGTAATGAATATTAATTATCAACTCTTTTTCTAAGCATGGCAGGTGAATAAAACATATTTTATATCCGAAAAAACAGGCGGTATCCGAGGTTGTCGACAAAACGCATTCGGCAAACTTCAGACATTTTCGGAAACGGGAGGCATTCCTCCCGTTTTGGTCACGTGCCATGACATAGAGTGTAGCGGTTACCTTACCTAAGATTCATCAGAAATAGTCAAAATCTTTTGGGAACCAGACTACGTATTCACAGAATAATTGTTGATTGAGGCTCAATGACCTTTGTAAATGTTTGAGATTTGAAGTTTGGCGTCGTGAAATTCTTCGGCCCGGTTTTCAAATGTAACAACATTTCTTTAAAAAGAAAATTACAGTTAAAATTACGAAATGTGACGAAAAACAACAAGAGCTCAAAACAATATGTAAACATGATTCAGGAGCAAACACACAAAAAAATCCATATGAATTGAAAGTAAAGAATGTTCATGATGTAATGTCAAATAAAAAAGGCACGGAAAACCATGAAAAACGATTGAAAAAAAAAGAACACGAAGTTGTTGAAAACAACATTGTTTTTTTACGTTTAAGTGGCTAAGCATTATCTTTAAAAATCCAAAAAGGCGAACAATAATAATCCCACAAAAACACAAAATACGACGTGTTAACCTAGGTATTTTGTTTTCTTTATAAAATACCCTAAAACCAACCCTTCAAAGTGAGTCTGAAATCATCAGACCTTCTTAGAACTGTCGGTCCTAAAACAAATTGAGCATAACGCATATCAATAGGAAATGCTAACTTTTTCACCGGGTTAACCACATTTAACAGTTTGTCAATCTGAATTATATAAGAAACAGAATGCTTATAGGCGACTTGATGCTAACTGAAAATGAATTAGTGAAAAAGTTGTCCGTAAAGCTCATTATGTGGAATACCTTGATAGATGAACATAGACGCCTTGTCGCGTAGATGATACGAATGGGCACTGCAGGCCACCAGAGCGCCCTCAAGCGGCAAGCCGTGGTTGCGGTAAATCACAAGAGTCGAGTGAATAACGCATCTAGAAGCATTCACTGCTTGAATTGTGTAGCCGGCTCCCGCTATGGTTGCCAAATTCTCCCAACTCACGTTGTTGGGGTTGTTTTCGTGGAGTAAACTCCAGGTGATGACGTCACCGTCGGCCGTGCAGTTAAAACGGATTTCGCCGTCAGTGGTGCCGTAGTTGGTCATAGTGAAGTTGATGATCCTAGGGCGCCAATCTACACAAAGATAAAACAAGGAAAATATGAAACTCATGAAGTGCAAACAACACCAACCCACAGCAAACCACAATAACCACAACAACAATAACCACCACAAAAGCAACTGCAGCAGCCACATCCAACAGCACCATAACGATTACAACTACCCCCAGCCCCACTACTACCACCAAAAAAAGCGACTACAGCAGCAACTACAGCAGCAAAAGTAGTATCAGCAAAAGCAACAACAACAACAACAACAACAATAACAGCAACAACACAACCACCCAACATCAGCACCAACAGCAACAATAACAAACAAGAACAATGTATCAACATCTTTCACAAGAAGGCTAGCCTTGATTTTGTTTGTCGACAGAAATTGAAGATCGGATACTTTTCCCGGTAATATTTTATTAAATTCCACAAATGTATCAATTTCAGGTATTAAAAGGTATACGTACCTATATATCCACACTTGTACAGGTTTGCTATCTGTTGTGAGCTCAGAAGACCGTCAAACACAACCAGATTGCTGTATGCTGCAGAGCCACCGTACGTGTCAACAGAGTATGTGCGAGCACATGTATTTGACATGCCAAAGTAAAGATGAGTGCACCCGTCCGATTGAGTTGTTGCAGTTAGGTTTTTCATCACGTCCGCATTGACCATATCCCCATTGACAAATACTTTTAAGTCTGTGCCCCGCGTGCCTGACAAGTCCGCCGTAAATGCGAGGTGGAACCACTCGTCCAGCGGTATCTTACTTTTGTTATATTTACGATTAAAAAGAAAATGTCCGGACTTTGCTATGATCCAGAATTTCTGAGAGTCCTTTTTATACATGAAAGCTATTCCTCTGGACTGACTAGTCTGTCCCCCAGAGCTCAAGTAATACCAGTCATTTTTGTTCACAGATACCGGCGTGTCGATTTTCAACCAAATGGACCAGGTCACAGTTTCAGACTCACACAGTCCAGGGTCTGAGACACAACTCCCTGCAAAGTCTCCGAGATCTAAGTAGGAACCAAGTGATGCGTGCACTGCGCATGGTTGTTCCACTAGCTCTGGGCCAGGAACCATTTGAGCAGTCCCAACCACTTGATACGCCTCGTTATCCACTACTTGGTTATTCTCGCACGGAGTGACGTTACTCATTTGGCCCAATGGTAGGTCCAGAATTGGTTCCAAGTCAGAAACTGAAATATAAACACGAGTAAAACTGGATGGGCTTAGATTTGGCAAGAATTGTGTCCCAGGCAAAACTTCATTTACGGTTTTCTCCTCAAAGTAATTATGGAACCTACATTATACGCGCACGCTAGATCATACTTTAAAACAGTCTTTGGTTGGGCTGTTGGCCGCAATCGGTCGATCTGCGCGATTAGTGGATTGCGTTGCGCGATGGGTCGATTCTGTAGGATATCTCGGACTTAACTTAGTACCTTTAAATCTTCCATTGCCGTGAATAAGAAAGAAAAGATGTTAGACTGGTGGCAGCATGATCGACCGATATCGTCATGATCGACCGATAAAGTCGATAATTTAACAGGGGCATGCTTCACAGAGGAAAAAAATGAGGTCTATGTCTGTTCGATGAACAGAACACTGGGCTATTCGTCCTTTGCTTTGTTGAACATATTTAACAAATAAATATGAACAATTAAAAAAAAAATCAACCGATCACGCCATTATAGCGTCACTGCAGATTGTACATACTAACACCATTATCTTACTTCCCACCACGTTTTACAACGATCCATCCAACCCTTATATGTGTATCAAAAAATCTCATTACTCATGAGTGAAGTTCATAATACAATAACGTTTGTCCAAAAAGGCACGGTTAAAGTGAGCAGAAGTCATTCAACTCTTACCATACTCAATAAATCAAGAGTCTGCACTTAACATCGTCAGTGACATTTGACCTTTTTTTCTGATCATGTTTCACAAACGCTCTTTTATGTTCACATAGTACAACAGTATCAATTATTCATTTTTTTTATTTTAAAAAGGAACAATGTTCTATTCAGTTAAATTGTCATCATATATTTGTTGTTGACAGTGTTGAAGACTCTTCGTCATGTCTCAGATTTTACTTTCCAAAGTGTGCATTATCGTCAGAAGGAATTATACTGAAGCAATACAGCAGCCGAATAGGCCGAATAGGTCAATGTGATATAAAAATCTCATTGAAAAAGTCATGTTTATCATGACTTTGGTAAATCTCCCCAATTTTGACCCAATCAGACCGTTAGTTTTTGTCAATACGAAATTTAAAAAAATATACTTTCATGATTACGTCAAATGCCCCGCGATGACGTTATTGTAACAACACTTGTCAATGCATATTGTACACTGTGGTCTTGGCTTGTACTAAGTTTGAAGTCAATCGGATGAAGGAAAGTGTAAAATTTTGAAAGCGGAATAAAATTTTAAATATTTAAAAAAAGGAACAAAATCAACTAATAACGAATGACGTCATGAAGACGTCGCCTCGGGATTTGCATATTAGAAGCAGTGTTTACCTACCGACTAGATTTCAAGACAATCGGACTTACCTATATTTGTGTTTTGAAAAATCGCATTTTGATGACGTCATCGTGACGTCAGACATTTTTCAAAATGTTGTGCATATACCTAATACATATAACACACCTAATACAAAAAGAATTTCGGATTTGGCATTTGGCAATCTTTAAACCTTCAAAAATCTATATAAAATCACACGATGACGTCATGACGACGTTACCTCATTTTTTTTTTACCTATAACACATCCTGGTCTGAGTACATAACGAGTTTCAACCCAATCGGACTTAAAGTTTTCTAGATATAGGACTTTAAAATATGTACTTTTAAGCTGACGTCTCATGACACATGATGACGTCATCATGACGTCACTCTGCGGGACACAAATTTGCACTTTGCCTATTGTTACTTTGAAGAATGTATGACAAATAGAAATGCCAAAAGTGACGGCCGGAAAAATGTGTTCAAAGTGTATGGGATTTGGAAAATAACAAAAAGAAGCAGAAAAAACAAGAAGTCTTATGTCTGTTTGATGAACGGAACATATTTTTTAAACAATAAGACGTCCCTGACTATGTGTGTACAACGTTTCAACCCACTTGGACTTATGGTTCTGTAGATATATTTAAAAAAAATCACCTTTTAGACTGCGTCACAAGACCCGTGATCACCTGCCGCCATAGCGCCCTCGAATAATGCATGACGTCACTAGTCAAATTTTTGAAAAACCCACCCTTGCCGCAGACTTACATCGTTGAAAGCAATTTCACAGCTTTCACCAATTTCATATGATAAGGCACTTCCGGTTCGAACCAGAAGGAAGGGTCAAGTGATGTTGCACGTAATATCAAACATGAAGACCCTGGATTATTTAATCCATTCCCGTAAAAAGCAAAATCAGAGCTCTCAATATTGATTTCGAAAGATTTAATCTAGAAATCTTTGGTTGCTTGTCATCTGATACTTGTTGACGTCATCGTGACGTCATTACCAGTAAGCCTGAGAGTTATGTTGACTGTGCTATTTAAAATTGATTTTTCAGCATTTGTTTAAAGTTTAAAGGTCTGTTTTAACCTCCGGTCTGGTGACGTCATCAATCTTTTTCCGCCTCAACTTTTTCTTAGCATGAAGCTGATTTTATACATCAAATACAAAGTGATTTCAGCAACTTTCGCCAAACACATCAACTGATTATTTATTTCACATATTGTTCAACCTGCCGCAAGAGGGCGCTCTTTTATGTTATGACGTCACCGGTACTTTGTTTGTGGAGTGAAACCTAGCCAGAGACCCCCAGAGACTAACATCGTTGAAAGCAAGTTTTTTTTTTTTTTTTCAATTTTAAATTATAAGGTATTTCCGGGTTGGACCGGAAAAAAGAGTCAAGTGATTTAGCTCAGGGGATAAAATGAAGATCCTGGATTATTCTATCAATTCTCGCAAAAGTCATGTCCAGGTAGATTTTATATTGAGTTTCAAAGATTAAATCCAGAAATCTTTAACGAGACGTCGCGTGACCCATGATGGTGAGGTCTTCGGACACATCCTTGATATAGGGACTGTAATGCCTTTGGTAATTTTGAAGGATGCGTGCCAAAGATGAACGCCAGAAAAAAAGTGCGAACAAACGGAGCAGAACTCATTTTCGCAAAATTAGTTTTGTGTGAGTTAATGCTTATTTTGTCCATGTGCAGTCAGGCAAATGATGCATTTAACACAAGTACAAAGTTTCATGACTGATTTGCTGCTTGGTAAACCTTGCAGTTCTCTAGATGTATGCATTTTGAAGAGACTTTACATTACCCGTGAAGACGTAATCATGACATCACCTCAATTTTAACCTGCATCACACCCCTGTCTATGTTCATACCAAGTTTCAAACCAATAGGTCTTGCATTTTTATGGGTCCTTAGAAAATGCACAGATAAGATGACGTTACATGACCCATGACATCATGACGACGTCACAGGACTCATGATGACACATGACGTCCGATGATCCCCTAACTACATCATGATGACATGATGACGTCACATGACCCAACGGCGACTTGACATTTCCAGTTGAACGCAAAACGGTAAAAGCAAGTTCACATCTTTTACCAATTTCAAATTACAAGACACTTTCGGTTTCAACCGGGAGAAAGGGTCACGTGATTTTGCACATTATATATATCAATAACTACAGACTCTGCATCATTCTAAAACTTCCTGTAAATAATATCCAAATCAGATTTCTCACAGTTGATTTTATATTGACTTTCAAAGATTCAATCTAGACATCTTCGGTTGCTTGTAATCTGATTCTTGTTAACGTCCTCATGACGTCAATACCAGAAAGCTCGAGAGCTATGTTAACTGTGCTATTTGAAGCGAAAATCTGGATTAAATCTTTCGCGGTTTATATTTCAGCAATTATGTTAGGTTTAAATTAAAGGTCTTTTCATTTTAACTTCCGGTCTGGTGACGTCATGAATCTTTCTCCCCTCCATTTTTTTAGCATGAAGCTGACTACATACATCAATTATAAAGTTATCTAAGCAAACTTCGCCACACACATCAACTAATAATTCATTTTAAACATTTTTTTCCACCTGCCGCAAGAGGGCGGCATGTTTTGACGTCGCCGGCATTTCTTTGGTGAAGTACAACCTAGTCAGAAACTAACATCGTTGAAAACAAGTTCACCTCTTTTTCCAACTTTAAATTTTAAGGCACTTCCAGTTTGGACTGGAAGGAAGGGTCGCGATATTTGGCTTATAAGAGATAAAATAAAGATCCTACATACTTGTATCAATTCCCGAAAAAGTCAAGTTCAGGTATGTCACGGATGATTTTATAGTGTTTTTCAAAAGATTAAATCTAGAAATTTTAAACGTGACGTCACGTGACCCATGACGTCATCATGACTTCAGTCTTCGGGACACATCTTTGCTATAGGGACTATATGCCTGTGGTAACTTTGAAAGACGTATAATAAAGACGAATGCCGAAAGTGAAGAGTAGAGAAAGGAACAAAAAGAACAAAGAAGAAAAAAATCAGAGCAAAAAGAAAGGCTTTTTTTCGCAAATTTGCGAAAATGCTAAAAATCAGAACAATACGAAAAGCTTTTCCGCAACTATGGGCAAAAGCCAAGTATTTAATTGGACAGTTGCATTTTTAGGGAAAATAATATTTTGTGCTTCGTAAAGACCAACTCATTCGCTACACAAATAATGCTGGGTTGATGATTGTTATAGCTTCTAAAATAGTAAGGTCCTGATATTCTGATAAGAAATCACATGTTTTTGGCCGTGATAATTACAAAATATTAGCGTCGTTTAGGCATATACTGCATTGAATGCCGTAAATCGAAACAAAGACATGAACAATGTTAACGTGAAAAAAAATGCATTCGGTATCAATCAGTCATCTAAAGATATAGAATACATGGTACCCATGGTAGATGTAAAGATAAGGCCAAACAAAAAAAGTGTTGTGTCTACGGTAATGGTCTGAAAAACAATCCAGGTAGGTAGGTAGGGAAATAATTGTATTTTGTAATTTTTTTTATTTCAGTTCTGCAGGCTCATGCGTGTTCCTTCGCAAAATATTTGTATAAAAACATTATTCAAGCATTCAGAATACTCAATCGATACATTTCATTCCAAATTAACTCGTACCGTCCCAGGGTTCTCCCCAGGATTTTTTCAAACTTGTGGGGGAAGTTTTGCTGTGATTCAACAACCTGCGAAGCCATGGCGTGAGGTTTGGGGCCCGCTTTCAGGGCCCCAAAAATGTTTGAGAGAAGATCTTGTAGGCCCCTATTTTTGTAGTTAATGAAAAAAAAAATCAAAATTACATTGACAAGTTAGTTTTAAATTAAGAAAGTAAGGTGAAGAAACAAATCATTTTGCTTCCGATAACATGCCTTTCAAAATAGCATCAATAGGTCGGAAAAATTATTTCGCCAATTTTTTGGGGGTGCTAAATGGAGCATCATAGAGCAAGGAATCATGTTTATTTTGTGCCTGGATTATTTTCATTTTGTGCCACGAAAATTATCAAGACTGGCCACCAAAAGTGATTAAAACTTGCCTCACCTAATAAAAAAATATTGTTGAGGTGGATGATTCCACTATATGCTTAACATACATCACGGCCGCTGGCGCCACCAACATTCAGTCTGGCCGGTCGTACATCGCGCTGTGCTCACGGTGCAGTATCAGTGTGCATTGCTGCACTGTGTACGGCCCATCCCACGTGGAAGAAAATCTTGTTCTACTGCAGAAACACGCTACACGCCACAAGTTCGAGCCTTGCAATCTCGTTATTTTGATGGAAAACACATACACAGAAAATAAAGATCACGTTCTGTGAATTATTTCGCAGATATTCTCTTTCTCCACCGATGTTTGTTTGGTATTTTTACGATCCAACTTCGGCCGACGGCACAACATCATCGTGGTACGACGTTTGTAAAGGCAGTAGTCACTGGTTCCGGTCCTTCATTATATTATGGATTCCGTTAGCACGCGAAGGGAACCAGTGTACCATGCTGTATGCGCTGCTAGCTGGGTGCTGGTGGTCGACAGAACCCGTCATCCTGTGCATTTTAATCACACATGCATCAGAAAAACAGGATTTTTGTCAAGATTTTGCATGTCAAGATAAAATAATGGCGTATGTAGCGATTATATTGTGCATTTTAATGGCGTGAATAGTAATTATATTGTGCGTATCGGGGGCTGAAAAATGTGATCGGCATTTTTGTCGGGCCGATTCGCAGTACGCACGTATGTACGTGGGGAGAACCCTGCCGTCCGTCGGCCAGGCGCACCAGTTCACCCCGATGCGTTTGTGCAAAAATAATCGTACTTCATGTAGTTTGAGATCGTCGCGATTTTCGCACGTTTAACACAGGTATGTTTGTGTCAATCATGGTCAGTTTCAAGTGTGGTAAATGGTCTATGAATTAAAAGTACTTAAAATTCTAGAAATTTGTTCATTAAAAATGATCAATATCAACCTTCAAAATGGCAATAAAAAGTTTGAGGTCGGCAATTTGGCCGAAAAAAATCCCGGTCGGTCGGGTTTGGCCTAAATAATAGGTGACTTCAAGGGCCCATGTAATGTATTTTTTATGCAATCATTGAAAATACACCTTTGTGTCCATTTTTACCTGATTTTCAATATTCATTTTGCCACTTTTAAGGCCGTTTTGGTGCCTTTTGGTTTTCATGCTAATGCGAATTAATATTCATGCGCAAAAGTGTGATGACATTTCAGGCAGAAACCTCAATGTTACACCTACTTACAGCACCACCATTTGCCAGAATCGCGGACACTTTTGCTGTGAGTCGTAAAATTGTCTTTGCTTTGGTTATTCGTTGTTGTTTCAGTGCATGACATTAAGCCAATGAGCAAATGCAAATGTCTCCACACGTTTTCAATTAGTAAATTTTGAGTTCACAGTTTGAATGGAAAACCCTTGCATAAAACAGTGTCTTCCTGACATGACATCACAGCAAGAGCGCCCTCATTTGTCAGGAAAGCACGGACATTTGTAAACGTGTAAGAAAAACGTGCATTTTTTAATTAAAAAAATACCAACAAGAAATATTTTTCATACATTTCAGGGGAGTGGAAAGTTGGACAAAATAATGTTTCCATGTAAGATGATGTCATGCGCCCTTTGCAATAAAAAAAGTTCAATAAAAATGTATAAGAAATTTCAAGAAGGATGACGTTTCGTGTTCATGTAGTTTGCATGTGTTTTCAGGAGTCATGATGGTAAGTCTTTTAAGGTCACATGTTCATTTAAGTAATATTAGCACAAAAGGATTTGAGGGTGAAAAAAAATATCCATCGCATTTTAAATATGAAACGTTTTCATCATTAATTTTTACCGGTCTTCTCTTTACCGTTGCTTTTTGATATTTTTATAAATTTACTTAATTGTATGAAATTTGATTTTAAAATGCCATGACAAGATTCATAATGGTATACAGACTTACCCGTGGTGTTTAGGGCATGTGTATCTAGCCAAATGAATGACGGTACATCAAATCCAGTCGCGTACTTGAACATGTCATCAGCGAACTTCGAAATGAATAAGATGTCATCAGGGCTTGTTACCGTTGCGAGGGAGCCACTTCGACCATGATAGTTGAGACGCTGACAGAATGCCTTTGCTTCAGTGTACGACAGGGAATTAGTGAAATACCTGTAGCACGTGCCATTGTTCTCCGTCCATTGAAAATTGCACGGCAAACAAGCTGCTTGAGCAAAATCGACCAAATCCGCGATAAGCACGACCGCCAGCATTACCCAAATTGCCATGTTGAGCGTCCACGCAGTTCTGGCTATGTGACTGGTGATCGCCAGTGCACTCAAGCAACATACGGCATTTAACTATGGTGGCCCTGAAGGGACATCAGACATCAAGATTTCTGCGCAGAAATCTGCGACGTCGCACTTTTTATCGCAGAAATCTGCGCACATTTCTGCGATGTCGCACATTTTATCGCAGAAATCTGCTCAGATTTCTGCGATGTCGCACATTTTATCGCAGAAATCTGCGCAGATTTCTGCGATGTCGCACATTTTGTTGCACATTTTATCGCACATTTCTGCGCAGATTTCTGCGATGTCGCACATTTTATCGCACATTTCTGCGCAGATTTCTGCGATGTCGCACATTTTATCGCACATTTCTGCGCAGATTTCTGCGCAGATTTCTGCGATGTCGCAGATTTTATCGCAGATTTCTGCGATGTCGCACATTCTATCGCAGAAATCTGCGCAGATTTCTGCGATGTTGCTCATTTTATCGCACATTTCTGCGCAGATATCTGCGGATGTCGCACATTTTTATCGTACATTTCTGCATCTTTTTAACACACTGGCGCCTGGCTATTTTTCTGCTGAAGCTAAGGGCAACCTCGTCCCCAGGGTGTCGAGCAGTAATAATAATAATAATAATAATAACTGTATTTATATAGCGCCGTTATGGAAACGCCGTTGGAAAATAAAGTACGCGCCCACCACTACCTGCTCTCTCACCCTGGTATTGGATCATTTTGCATGTGCAAGATTTTTGAACACGTATGCAAATGAGGACTAGTCTGGTGCTTGCATGTGCATTACATTAGCGCTTGTTTTTGTATGCGGTGTCTGGGGTAAAAACAGAGTCAATTCGTCGCAGCGCGAGCATGGCGTGAGTTACGAAAACACGATTTATTCAATTAAACTGTTACGATTTTATCGAAACAACATGCAGTATCACATTTCATATTAATATGAACAAATAGGAAAGGAAATGAGTATTTTTGAGAAGGCGTGGACGAATGATCGCGAAAACACGTACTGCACATTTTTTTAACAACACCAAGTACACGATAAAATCCATTTCTAGCCAATTGAGGTATCGAATCAGGATACAGGAAGAAAGTTTCCTATCCAGGGTTTACTATTGGAAACGCCGTTGGAAATAAAGTAAGCACTGGGGACGAGGTTGAGCTAAGGGGTCTAAGAATGTCGGGGTTCTGGCCTCCATGATATTAATTTTGCATATAGGATAGTAGTCGGGTGCCGAAAGTATATATGAGGCGCCATGTGTAAATAAATTATTTAACAAAATTATTTATATATAATTCATTATTTATTGTATAATTCAGTTATCTGGACAATTGTATGTAAATAATTGTTTGGCAGTTTGCATTATATGTAAATAAGTTTATTTGCCACTGCATTATTTATATATATATTTTTTTTGCAACCTAATTATTTACATATAATTTTGGGCAAACTAGAGTTATTAATATAAAAGTTATTTTTTTTGCAACCTAATTAATTATATATAATTCTATGCACCCTTTTTTTATTTATATATAATTTATTTGCAAACTTATTATTTATATATCATTTTTTGCCTACTTTATTTATTTATATATAATTTATTTGCAACCTTTTTATTTATATGTAATTTTTTGCACGCTTTATTTATTTATTATATAATTTATTTGGTACCTAATTATTTATTTATAATTTTTTGCCTACTTTATTTATTTATATATAATTTGTTTGCAACCTTTTTATTGATATGTAATTTTTTGCACGCTTGAATCATTTATTATATAATTTATTTCGTACCCGATTTTTTTTTTTTTTTATTTGTGCACACTTAATTAATATTTAATTTATTTGGTACCTCGTTATTTATATCTAATTTTTAGCAGTGGCAAATAATTTATTTACATATAATGCGAACTGCCAAACAGTTATTTACATATATTTGTCCGGAAAACTGAATTAAATAATAAATAATGAATTATATATAAATAATTATGTTAAATAATTCATTTACACATGGCGCCTCATAGAAAACGTGTTCGCGCGCCCATGCGCTCGCAGAAATCTGCAATTAAATGTGCGACATCGCAGAAATCTGCACTGAAATGTGCGATAAAATGTGCGACATCGCAGAAAACTGCGCAGATTGCTGCGATAAAATCATGGTGCGACATCGCAGAAATCTGCACAGAAATGTGTGATAAAATGTGCAACATCGCAGAGATATGCGCAGAAATGTGCGATAAAATGTGCGACATCGCAAAAATCTGCACCGAAATGTGCGATAAAATGTGCGACATCGCAGAAATCTGCGCAGATTTCTGCGATAAAATGTGCGACATCGCAGAAATCTGCGCAGATTTCTGCGATAAAATGTGCGACATCGCAGAAATCTGCGCAGAAATCTTGATGTGTGATGTCCCTTCAGGGCCACCATATTTAACCAAAAACGTGTAGTGTATTTTAACCTTTAGAAGAAAACAAAGGCATCGATCGGACCCACTAATGAACCCATTGTGGGGCTATGAAACCGAAGCGGGCGATTCCACTGACGGAACTAGGGTGATTTTAGAAGTTATTATGATAGCCATAAGACCAAAATATTTATGGTTATATACACTCGACTCTCGTTAGTACAAACTCTGTTAATACAAATTCTGGTTTTAACAAACATAAGGCCTTGGTCCCGACTGTGCATTTATGTGCACAATGAATGGGACTGATATTCCTCTTAATACAAAATTCTGATATAACAAAGAATTTGGCTAGGTCCGAACAAGTTTGTAATAACGAGACTCGACTGTATTTTAAAGGAAGGTTGCACGGCGAACATGTTGCTTGAGCAATATCGACCAAATACGCGGTAAACATGACCGCCAACATTACCCAAAACGCCATGTTGAGCGCTCGCAGTTCTGGCCAGGCCTATATAATATACGTGATCTAGAAGCAAAATATAAAGCGCTTGACAATAAACACGTACTTGTCAGTGTTTTAACCTTGAGAAGGAAACAAACATAACGATTGTACCCACTAATGATGCCATTGTGAGGCTGTGAAACCGAAGTGGGAGATTCCACTGACGAGGTGATTTAAAAAGATAGTGGCAATTTTGTGTTTAGAAATGATTATTAAAAGAGTACATACATGTACGTGTATATAACTGTAGGCAGGGTCGGGTTATCCAATAGGCACAGTCGGCACTGTACCTGGGCCTACGAACAATTCGGGGCTGACGAACAACTTAAGGGCCCATGAAAATACCTCATGGACTTGGCCAACTTCTCAAACGTGTATAATGCCTGCAATCTATTTAAAAAAAAAAAATTGCCTTAGACCCATGTGATAATAACGCCCACTTAAAACAGAAGATTGGGGAAACTAGTCACAACTCTCCACGATGTTTGAGACACACATCAACTTAAAGTGAGGATCCAACATTTGCAAACACCAAAAAAATACGAAATAATCAAATTATCACGGAATACCTTACTTGATTCTGAGGGAATGGAAGTCTAAAGCATCTTGTAAAGTTGTGGCTCCTGTTGTGTTGACAATTTTCAAGAAAAAAATTGTATTTTGCCAACGCATGGTCGGCCGACCAGCGTAGGAGAAAACTGGTTTTTTTCAAAAAATGCCCATAATTTTTCATATTTAGTTATTCCGCATTTTCTCTGCAATTGTCATTCTCTGACCATAAAGTTCCCCAAAGTCTATTAATTGCTCAGTTTATCTTAACTGGGATCAGGGAACCAGACTACACGAACATGATAGGTTTTCTTGGTTTTTCCAGCATCTACAAGCCCAAAACGTGTAACAAGTCATTTTAACAATATTTGCTACAACATACTAATCCACCAAGTCCATTTAATTATGAAAATTGCAGCAAAAGCGAATGTTGTACATTCCCTTTATTAAAGCTCGTTTCATCATCTTTCATTTTCTGTTGAATTTGTTTGCGGTACGCCGATGACTCTTAGGAGAAATTTCCATACTAAATGAACACCCCTGAAAGTAATGTTAATATGGCCATCGCCATTTTTTTTTAAAATGCTGTCTATACGCTCAATTGCAAGGTAGACTAGGGGTATTTTAGGGCCCAATTTCATACAAATTTCATAGAAATACAAGCGAGCTCGCAGTCCTGTTCCCGGTTCCATCCCACATTATTAAAGCTCTTTTCTAATTTCACTGTACACTTAAAGTTAAAAAAAATCGTGTGATATGCTTGTTTTATAGCTAATATAATTTGTTTTCATATTATGTAAAATAATAGTCATGGTGCCAGCAATTATGCTAAACATAAGACACAAATGTTCAGATTTTAAAGGAAGCTTATACATGATAATTCGGGAAGCAAGTTATATTGGCAATTCTTAACGATTTAGAAAGCGGTACTGATTACACATAAGCCGCATTCGTTTTAAAATTTATTTCTGTGTACTAAGCTAGATATACATGGTGAGTAAAAAAATATAACCAAATGGCAAGACCAATGACTTAATGAAGTTCACTCATGTACTGTTCAAGTTTAATACGGAATGTTGAAAACAAACACCGTTTTGAAGTTAAGCCCACGTATCACACAAAAGTAAGCGTTCTTTCAGCAAAACGAAAAAAAATCACATGGGGATGTACATGAGTGATTTGAATGATTCTTGTACTAAAAGAAAGCTTATTAATTGGGATTCCATATCCTATATTTTGCAAGTACTATATGCAGAACTTCATTAAAAAATGATCCTGACATTTGAGTTTCCTTTTTTTTTTAATAACCCTGCATATTAAAATAGCACTTTAATAAAGACATACACTGTATCAGCATTACAATTATTTTGAATGAGATAAACGTACTTTTGATTGCACATTCTCGAAATTGTATGCCAGAACACTGCGCGAAATTGTATGCTTGCGTAAATGAATGCACAGGTAACGTTATTTCATATACAAACGGGTGAAAAACAGCAGATTTAATCAATTCAATACATCAAGTGTCAGCAACGAGA